TCGGCCTTTTCCATCTAATGTTCATCCATTATGTAAGAGTTTTTATTGAAGCTATGGCTGATCATGCAATATGCTTGGGAGAGACTCCTTTATGTTTGAATCCAGCTTAGTGGCGCTGCAAGGAACATTTGTGGATTTTGATGAGAAAGCAATCAACTTTCTGCAAAATATTCTGATGCAGAAGAAAAAATCTTCCTTAAAACTGTTGATGTTATTAAAGAACCATATCAGTTTTATCCATGGAGATTAAAATAAGTCTGGTTTACTGACATTATTGCTGACAAAGAGTTAAAGTCATTATCATGTCCCAAGCAAACCTTTTTTCTTGTGACATGAGGTCGATTGTACCAAATGAATCAGTTCCCACTGGTTGATCTTGTTCTTTCTGGATATCTCTCTCATTATCTATTTTGTAATTTTTGTAATTCACATCTTTAAGCATGTTTTGCTTAGTTTAGCTGCAGATGTTTGATAGCTTTTAAATGATCTTTTTCTCAGAAAGTATGACAGTGAGCTCAACTGCTATACTGTTCCTCTACTTTTTTCTGATTATCTCAAATCTAGTCACTCCTACTGAGAGTTATGAGAGACTAGATCTCTGTCATCCCAGTTCCTCTTGAATTTTAGACAGTGGCGCTGCCTGAAGACCAAAGATGCTCCATATATGTTTCGTTTCAATGTTGCTATCACCTTTCGCTAACATCACTTCTGAAACTGATCTTCATCCATTCATCCTCTTCATTCTTATCTTATCCACCTACTGTTCTTCCTCCTCCAGTGGAAACCTCAGTTTCCCAGGTTTTCTCTACATAGTTTCAGATGCCAATGACATTGTCATCGGAAACTATGAGGATTCACTGAGCTTTCTCTCAGTCGCTAAGCAACAACTTCATGCAGATCTGTCATGTTCTGCGTTCATTTTGAGTTTCTGAGTTCTCCCTGTTGTCCTGTCTTCCCCTTTATTGTAGATCAGTTGTTAGATGATTTTCAGTCTAAAGTTTCATATATCATTGATTCTGTTGCTTCAGTTAAAGTAAAGGTTTTGACTGGTAGGAAGAAATCTCCATGGAGAAAAGCACAAACAGTTCGACCTGCAAGACAACTCTGTTGCAGAGCAGAACGAAAATAGAGTAAAACTCAACTTCACGTTCATAATGACATCTATAAAGAAAAACTTCGTAACTATCACTCAACACTAAAACATGCAAGGGAGGCTTTCTTTGCAGATGTCATAAACAAAAACATGAACAATGCTGGAGCTTTATTTGCAACAGTTGACAGGCTCACAAACCCTCCTATGACGTTTCCACCTGAACTCCAATCTAATGCTGATGGAACAAGTTTTCTGATTTCTTTTCAGAGAAAATCCAAAGAATCAGAGGATTAATCTGCACATCAACTCTAAAGCCAGAACCATTGCTGTACCAAAACAGAACAAATACAGGAAAAATGACCCATTTTCAACTACTTCATTATAAAACTAGAAGAAATTATAAGTCAATGAAGTTCAAGCTCCTGCTGTCTGGATGTTCTAGATCTATAACTCTAGAACATTTCTTTAAGAAGTCCTGCCTATTATTGTTACTGATCTGATCCTAATAGTAACTCATCACTTACATCAGGTGTTTTCCCCCAGCTTTGAAAACAGCAGTTATCAACCACTGCTAAAAAAGAACAACCTGGACAAATCATAGGTCGACCTCTGACCTCTGACCTCCCATTCATCAGCAAAGTTTTTTGAAAAACTGTAAATTAAATAGTTTCCTCATGATGACCAACTGCTTTGACACTTTTTAATCTGGTTTTCATGCTCACCACAGCACGGAGACTGGCCTAGTCAAAGTATTCAATGATATCCATATAAGTACGGACTGTGGCAGAACCACGGTGCTGGTTCTGGTTCTGGTTCTGTTGGACCTCAGTGCAGCTTTTGACATATTACTGAATGGACTGGAGAGTTTGGGTTGGACTCTCCGTTCGGTGCTCGACTGGTTTGAATCCTACCTAAAGAACAGGGATTTCTTTGTTTCAATGGGAAACTTCTCATCAAAGAGGTCAAAGGTCACATGTGGGGTACCCCAAGGTTCAATCCTAGGACCCCTCTTATTTAATATTTTATATTCTCCCACTACTCAGGTCATAACAGGAAATAATATAAGCTACCACAACTATGACACACAGCTCTACATTATATGTCACCAGTGACCTTTGACCCCATTCAATCACTGAATAAATGTTTTAGAACAGATAAATGTGTGGATGTGCCAAAACTTTCTCCAACTGAAGCAGAAACAAAACTGAAGTCATTATTTTTGGACCTAAAGAGGAACGATCTAGAGTTATAGATCTAGAGTTATAGATCTAGAGCTATAGATCTAGAGTTATAGATCTAGAGTTATAGATCTAGAGTTATAGATCTAGAGTTATAGATCTAGAGCTATAGAGCTAGAGTTATAGATCTAGAGTTATAGATCTAGAGCTATAGATCTAGAGTTATAGATCTAGAGTTATAGATCTAGAGTTAGATCTAGAGTTATAGATCTAGAGTTATAGATCTAGAACTATAGATCTAGAGTTATAGATCTAGAGTTATAGATCTAGAGCTATAGATCTAGAGCTATAGATCTAGAGTATAGATCTAGAGCTATAGATCTAGAGCTATAGATCTAGGGTTATAGATCTAGAGTTATAGATAGAGTTATAGATCTAGAGCTATATAGATCTAGAGCTATAGATCTAGAGCTATAGATCTAGAGTTATAGATCTAGAACTATAGATCTAGAGTTATAGATCTAGAGTTATAGATCTAGAGCTATAGATCTAGAGCTATAGATCTAGAGTTATAGATCTAGAGTTATAGATCTAGAGTTATAGATCTAGAGCTATAGATCTAGAGCTATAGATCTAGAGCTATAGATCTAGAGTCAATGGACAGCTTCAGTTATTACAACTAAAAACTAGAGATCAGCCTGAAAGCAGTGAGTAGTGATGACCTCTGAACTCAGACCTGAACCTTGCGAGCCACATAAAGACAGTAACAAAGTCAGCCTTCTATCACCTGAAGAACATCTCCAGGATTAGAGGACTAATGTCTCAGCCAGATCTAGAGAAACTCATTCATGTGTTTATCTTTAGTCTCATTGATTATTGTAACAGCGTCTTCACAGGCCTGTCCAACAGAAACCCTGACTTCCTTTAAATCTCAACTAAAAACCAGCTGGTTAGAGTTTGATTATGTAACAATGTTTTGTTTATTATATGACTTTGTGTTTTGTGTTTATGATGTAAAGCACTTTGAAATGTCTTGCTGCTGAAATGTGCTATACAAATAAATTTGATTGATTTGATTTTGATTTACTCCCAGGTGTATCCTGTTCCCTGATTACCTCCTGTGTATTTAATGTCACTTGTGTCTCAGCGTCTCTGTCGGGTCCTAGTCGTTTGCCTGTTCAGTTCTGCCAGTCTCTTTGTCCATTCGTATCGCCTGCTGCTAACAGTGCTGAGCCTGAGCTTTCTGCCCAACTGTGCTGCTAGGCTGTTGGACTATTTTTGGATTGTGCATTGGACTGTGTCATTTGGATATTTTCATCATTAAATCATCACTTCATTCATTCTGCCAGGATCGTTCAGCGTCTTTCTCACCACCATTCACCGCAGCACCTGACAAGATCCCTAATATAAAACTCATGTCTCATTATTCTTCACTCTGAATAAATTTCTGTTTTTGCAGATGAAGATCATTTTAATGTAATCACTGTAGAAGCATATTTCATGTTAAACTTTTTTTCTTTTTGCTTTAAAGTTCTGAATTTCCTGCTGTGGGTCACGACAAATAAAGGTCAGTAATGTGATTTCTCCTCTGGAACTGACAGTTTGCCCTGCATTTTATCCAATATATACATTTGAAATTTTGTGAATTAAAAAAATAGTGGGCAATGAAAATAGTCCATCCATCCATTTTCTCCCTAACGGGTCGGGGTGCTGGTGCCTCTCCAGCTGTGTTCTGGGCGAGAGGCGGGGTCACCTGGACAGGTCGCCAGTCTGTTGCAGTGAAAATAGTCCTTATTTAAAATAATTTGTACAAAAACGTCAAATATTTTACAATGTTTGAAAAAGCTCAAAAGTTTCAATTAGCTCATTTAATAAGTTCAACATTTTAAAACTACCATGTTACTTATTGATAGTGTGAAATCTCTCAGGTGCATAACTCAGACCGACCTGGCCCGGATCTGGCTATTTGCTGGCACAACAAACTGGATGTCAGCCAGACTCAGGCCAGATCTGGCAATGATGGGACGTTTCACCTGAGGCAGGACACACCTGGGCCAGATCAGTCTATACCAAATACGGGCCGGTACAGAAGTAGTTATGTCACCAATTTTACAATTCATTTTCTCATATGAAAATCAATTTTTAAACAAAGTTCTGTTTAAAAAAGAAATTATTAAAATTATAACTAAAAGCAGACCTGTCTAGTGTACCCTGCCTCTCGTCCGGAGAGAAGCACCAAGCACCCCTACCGACCCACCAGGGACAAGGGTGTATAGAAAAACGATGGATGGATAATCAGTATAATATTATAACTTGATGCTCTAGCCGTTGTTTTGTGTATCTAAATTTTATAAAAGTTTTTTGAATGTAAAATGATTTATGTTACTTTAGTTCTTAATAATTCTCATGTCTAAATATGAGAATGTATGAAATGGAAATGCTCGCTGTCTCCTCCTGGCGGCGGACGTGACAAACTGCAGGCTTCAGCTCCGTCTCCATAGTAACGGACTCATAGCCGATAGCTGTTAGCTGTTAGCTGTTAGCTTCTGGTTGAAGGTCAAACTGAACACAATCTGAATGTTTTCATATTTATCTTCTTTGGGGTTTTTTTAGCCTACATTAATTATTGATTTTAATCTACTCATAGCTGTGTTTTTCCCTTCACCTATAAATGTTTTTTATTCAACAACAGTTGGAAATATTTTATTGGGGGCTGCTCATAGCAATGCATGGAGGCAGTGACTGACTGCCTCCATAACATGGTGCACGTCCATGTTGGTGAACATTCTTGTGATTCTCCACATGATACTTTGTCATTTTCAGGTTGAAATATCATTTTTAACAAAGGGGATCAATACTGATCAATAGGTTTATTTATTCTCTCTTTATTGAAGCGGTGAAGCTCAGAGAGGCATGCTGGGCACAGAGGACATGGAAACAGATTCTTCAATATATATGTTGTGTTTCAGATTAGAATTATATAATAAAGAATTATGTTGATATACATTGTGTTTTTATTGATATTACAAACATTAAGTTGTCTGGGATAAAAATGGCATTTCCATCTGATGCCTCAATGAATGACGGGCCAGCAGTGGCCCGGTTCTGGTGTGCAAGTTAAAACACTGGACTGGAAAATGTATACTCATATAGATAATCTACAATTTATATTCAATATGAACATATTAAATATATTAAAAGAAGATATTTGGTAATGGTGAGACTTTCTGTCCACAACAATGACTTCCAAAGGACTAAACTCCTGATTTCTATTATTGCTGGGTCTGGTTTATCTTTCTTTTCTTTTTTTTTCAATATTTTATTTTTCAGTCTCTCCAGTTCATCTGACTGTGAGTCCCAGCAGATCCCAGTTCTTTAAGGATGAATCAGTGACTCTGATCTGTGAGGATGAAAACAGATCAGCTGGATGGACAGTGAGGAGAAACACCAGCAGAGAGACCAGGAAGCCATGTGGAGATGGATGGGGGAAACCAGCTGGTTCTACCTGTTACATGAACTATCTCATCACATATGACACTGGTCTGTACTGGTGTGAGTCCAGATCCTCCAGCAGCAGCAGCAGCAGCAGCAGCTGCAGCAGCAGCAGCAGCAGCAGCAGCAGCATCCAGCTCTCTGTCTCTGGTAAGATCAGACTGTGGAGTTAGTGTTGCTGTGTGGAAATGGATGAAATGCTGTAGTTTGTCTCTGTGTTGAAAGGATCAGTGATCCTGCAGAGTCCTGTCCTCCCTGTGATGGAGGGAGATGACGTCACTCTGAGCTGCAGAGCAAGGAATCCAACCCACAACCTCCCAGCTGCTTTCTATAAAGATGGCTCCTTCATTGGTGATGGATCAGCAGGCAGCATGACCCTCCTCCATGTTTCCAGCTCTGATGAAGGCCTCTATAAATGTAGCATCAGCGGTTCTGGAGAGTCTCCATCCAGCAGGGTCTCTGTCAAAGGTCAGAGGTCAGCAGCTTCTCTGTCTGCGTCATCAGGAGACAAGAAGTAAATGATTCTCTGGTTCATTTCAGGGAGAATCTCCTCCACTCCTCCTTCCTCCACCTCCATCCCTTCCTCCACTCCTCCTTCCTCCATCTCTCCTCCTCCTGGTTCATCTTTTCCCTCCATCATATCAGTTGCTGCCATTTTTATCTTCCTGGTTTTGCTCTCATTGATTCCTCTGGTTCTGCTGGTGAGACGATGTTTCTGCAGGAAACCTGAAGGTCAGTCTTCAATAACAGCAATATTTTCATTCATTTCAACATTCTTACAATTTGTAATATTTATTTTTCACATGTTTTCCTTGGTCAGAAACTCTATATTGGTTTAATGAAAGTTTCTCTAAAGAGTTTTGATGTTTGTTCTGTTTCATTTCAGATGAAGGAAAAGATGAAAATGAAATTACATACAGTGACCTGAAATCCTTCAGTAACCAGCAGCAGCCAATCAGAAGCAGCAGAGGTAATTAATCACATCCTGTAGCTCTTATAACTTCTTATTACAAAAATCTAATCTGTCATGTTTTTCATTATCTGCTGCACAGTTGATCATTCAAAAACACAAAATATACGTTTATTACAAAAATAAATGTTATTATGATTTAGTCTCTGCTTCATTGATCTAATCAGAAATCAATCAGAAGCACATTGATTTTCCTCTGATTCAGCTGAATTTTGTCTGTATTCTACTGTATTTATCATCAGATTATTTTCATTCAATAAAACTGACTGTTGTCTGTTTCTCTGCAGATTAACTTCTGCTCTGTAATAATTTTCTTCACTATTTCCAGCTAATAGATCAAGTGTTTTCAGAATTTTACAAATATTGATAAAATTCTGGCAACAGCAGCAGTTTTAATGTGACTGGACAATAATAACATTTATGATTTTACTGATTTGTTGGCAGAAAGGAAAAGACAGAACAAAGAGAACAAAGGGAAAAACTGATTGATGGAAACTAATTTTCCATCAATTCTTCATCCTAACTCTTCCTCCTCTTCCTCTTCCTCTCTCTGGCTGTTGACTCGTCCAAATCTTCATCCTTCATCATCAGAAATGTAACAGATTTAGAAAAAAAGCAACAGAAATGTATTAAACTATGTTTGTCATATTATGACAACCTGCAAACATTCTGCATGTTGAGACTCATATCTATAACATTTCAGCATAAAGGCTGAAACTATTCAACAGATCCAACAATACATTTTAACCAACATGATCTAATTAGATGTAAATATAGAAACAGACATTTTCCAGTCAGTCTGATGGTGTCAGAGTGACAAAGACTCTCAGGTCTATTTGTGCCTCATTAACCTTTAATTAAGGGAAGTGAGCAGCTCTGTGGTCTCTGTTCATCACAAACATTCACACATTTACATGTTTGACAGCAACAGCAACAAAATTTTAAAAACCCTGTGAAAATGATATATAGAGTATTTCTCAGAAATAATGAGTCAGCAAAGTTAGTTTAGTTCTAACAGATCCACTTGTACCTGCAGTAACATTATTTATTGCAGTAATGATATTTATTTATTGCAGTAATGATATTTATTTCAGTATTGATATTTATATATTGATATATGTTCTGTTTCCAGATCCAGCTCTGGTTTCCTCTGCAGTGAGAAGTGGAAACATCGTCTATGGACAGATCAACATCAGAGGGGCTGGAAACCAGCAGAGGATGAGAGGTAGAGACCAAACTGATTCAATCTGGTTGTTTCTAATGTTCAGCTGCAGATTCATATTTTAGTTTTAATATTATTTACGGTGTTTTAATAGTGAGTCTTTAGCTCCTCTCTAACGTTAAACCACCAAACTTCCTGTTTCCAGTGAAGTTTCTCAAGCAGTAAACATGCTGAGTTCACCACAGGAAACGTCTGATGGCTTTATAAATAAAAGCTGCGTTGGTCAAACAGAACCGACCCAGTGCGGTTCTGAAGGTGTCAGTTTGTTTCTGTGAACAAGGCATGACTCAAAGTTCTGCTAACATGTTATAGAGGAAGTGAGAATCTGTGGTTTATATGGTGGATAAAAACAACCGAACATTTCAAACCTTTTCTGTCATGAAACACGTTCATCAGAACCCAACAGAACCTCTAACTCCCGGTTCTGTTGTTCAGAGATGGATCCGGGTCCAGTTTACTCTGCAGTGAGGACAGCAGACATCAGACCCAACAGAACCAGAGGTACCGACTCTCCTCCACTAAACTTTACTGGTTTTAACCTGCAGACTGGGAACACTGGGAGCAACATGTCTGATGGAATGGAGAACTGAGGAAGAGGAGGAGGAGATCTTCATCTCGTGTCACTTCCTGTTGAAACTTTTTACTTCAGGAAAAATGGAGGAAAACAGAAAGAAAGAAAATCAGGAGAAATTTAGAAACTTCAGGAGAATAAAGAATAAAATTAAATAAAATAAAATTCAACTTTACCGTCACAATACAAAGCTATGAAATGTAACCTGAAGAGTTTAGCAAGAGAAGAAAAAATGATGTATAAATGTACAATTCAGGTTTTTATAAACAGGAGTAGATTATAGAGTATAATTAATAGTGCATGTAATAAGTGGTTGATCAGTCTGTGTGTTGGTGTGTCAGAGGTCACAGCCATCATATGTTCAGACGTCAGCAGTTCAGCAGCATGAGAGAGCAGAGAGCAGCACAACGGAGGCTGCATCCTCTGTCTGCATCCTCTAGGGTCCAGTTCTGGCTCTGTGTGAATCGGTTGGGATCCAGGATGATGATGATGATGGTTATTGGTGCTGATCAATAGAACGTGGCTGCAGTTTTTCTATAGAAACAATAATGAATTTTTATACATTTAAATTCTGAGTTTTGTTGTTTTTTTAAAGATCTGCTAACGATTGATCAACATTCCTATCATATCATGTTATTTAGCATTAAATCCATTAATATGTTTATATAAATTAATATTTTATAAATGTAGCATTAATAAGAGAACATTGTGAATATATTCAGAAGGAACCAGTCGCTATAAATGTTTTATTTTTGTTTTCAGAACCAGAACCAGAACCAGACGTGGTTTACTCTCCAGTCAGAACAACTGATGGACGATAATGGATCAATATGTCTATCGGTTATTTTATAAGAAAGGAATATTAATGTATTATTATTAAATCATATTGTAACTTTATAATTGAACATGATGCATAAACAAACAGAGACAAAAATAATTTCCATTTGATTTAATGTTTTATTTTCTTGTGGTTCATAAATATAATTACTAATAAAAGTGAAAGATTGAGTTTCTATTTCCATCTTCAGTGTCATTATTATGATATTTATGTGTAAAATCATCTTATTTGGTTTGTGGATAAATAAAGTTTGTTCCAGTCGATGTTCTGAGGTTCTGATTTTCCGATCTGGTCGACCACCAAGAAAAACAAGAACAAACAAACCGCTGCAGAATAAAGCAGCTTCAGAGGAGACAGGAAACAGGAAGTGAATGTTTGAAAGGTTTAAACTTTAATCTGATGAGGAAACCAGTGAAGATTATTTTATAAAATGTCTCAAATTAAATCTGTTGGTTCCTGATTTTCTTTCTGAGCTGCTGAGTTTTAAACTCCAGGTCATTGAGTTTGGGTTAGGGTCAGGGTCAGGGTTAGGGTTAGGGTCAGGGTCAGGGTCAGGGTTAGGGTCAGGGTCAGGGTCAGGGTTAGGGTCAGGGTCAGGGTCAGGGTCAGGGTTAGGGTCAGGGTCAGGGTCAGGGTTAGGGTCAGGGTCAGGGTCAGGGTTAGGGAATCCAGGTCATTGAATTAATACTGGAAAAGGTGAAACTCAAACTGAATCCAGATGTGAAACCGAATCAATGAGAACAAAGAGTCAGAACTCAACAGGAAGGGAATCAGAATCAGAACCGGTTCTACAGAACCAGAACCAGAACCAGCAGAATTCCTCTAAAACTAAAACTGATGTTTTTCTGACACCTAGAGGACAGAAAACACATTACAGCAGCTCAGACTGTAGCCATGACATTTTATGATCGTGTTACCTTAATGACAAATTAATGATTGATTGAAAACCAATCATTCAATCGATCAACTTTATTCATGTCATATATTTCAGCAACAGGGAAAATCAAAGTGATTTACATCATAAAAATAGAAATAAAGTTATAAAATAACAGCAGATATTCACTTTATCTATTAATTATATGAATTTTGCTTCATTAATGAATCACAGACTGATGAAATATTAATGAATGAAATATTAATAAACATTTATCCTGAATATGAGATAAAACTTGAATCCTAAACTTTGAGTCCAAATCAAATCTGAAGTTTTTGTTGCTGCAACTGAAGAGTGAATAAAAGCAACATAAGCAGCAAAATAAACTTTAACTAAAGATCTGCAAACAGCAGATGATGCAGAAATCAGAGCAGAATATTAATCACTGAACAGATTATTAGAATAATTACAGGAAATAAAAACTGAATCACCAGGAAACAGGAGAAACTCTGGAGACAGAAGGACAACTGAGGACCCCTAGTGGTAGAAACACCGCATAGACCGAGTCAGAGGTCAGATTGGACCGGGTCAGACCGGACCGGACCGGGTCAGGGGTCAGACTGGACCGGGTCGGACCGGACCGGACCGGGTCAGGGGTCAGACTGGACCGGGTCGGACCGGATTCGGTAGATTCAGTCATCAGGTCAAATTCTGCACTGGATGTTGTAACAAAACCTGGAAACTGAACAAAATGGATGGTTTATTCATAAATAAAACTATGATGGTGGTTTTATTTATAAAATCTGAAACATCTTCAGGAAAAAGGACAAAAATAAATAAATAAATAAATAAATAAATAAATAAATAAATAAATAAATAAATAAATAAATAAATAAAGGAAGAGATTCAGGTCTTTGTTTTTCTTCACCTTTTGCTCATCATAATCATAAACCTGCAGGGGTATGAATAATTATGACCTTATATTTGATCCAGCTTTTGTTTTCATAATAAACTGATAATTATGATAAGATTCTGTGAACTGCTGTTAATCTGTTTTCATTAAATGTATTAAAGTCAATATGAACATGATAATAACGCAGCTCTCCGGTAATATCAATGATCCCCAGCAGGGGGCAGCATCTGGTTCACGGCAGAATGGGAAAGAATAGGGAATATTGGAAATTAAATTATAAAAATATAAACATCCAATAAATAATCCAGAATAATTTCAACAGTTAATGCAACCTAAAAAACGTGATTATATTTTCATATGTTTATTTTTCTGTTCATGTTATCCTGATTTCTTCTCTGATTATCTATAAATATTTGGATTTCTGCAGATCCAGAGTCTTCAGTTTATATAGTTTATATAATTAATTATGTTTGTAGTTAAACATTAATTAATTTTCTTCCTCTAAACAGTTTGATTAGACAGTGTGATTGTAATGTCAGTGATGTGCCACCAGGTGGCGCGTTAGGAAGCAGAACCTGATCATTTTCTGTGTTCAGGAGAGAAATATGTCTTATAGATCTGAAGCCTGTTTGAACTAAATGGACCTCATTAATAAACAAATATTACATTTCAATATATTTTTATTAAAAGGTGTTTAAAATAGTACAATAAAATTATTTAATAAAAATATTAAAGTTCCAACAATAGACTGACACTCTGTTGTTTCTGTTGTGTTTAATAAAAAAAATGTTTTATTATTTTTCCAGAATCTGTCTGCAGCCTCTCTTCTGTTGCGTCATGGCAACTGGCTCATTGCAGGTGAGCCACACCTGTCCTGATCCTCCAGCTGAAAACCCAAAGCAGCATGAAGAGACACTACTGCGCCCCCTGGTGGTTAACAGGAGCAGCAGCAACCAAACTGCTGCTGATTGATCCGTTTATTGATCCTTTTCCAGCCGATGATTAGAATAGAAACACTTTGAGTTTCTTTATTTCAGGTAAACAGACATAATAATAATAATAATAATAATAATAATAATAATAATAATAATATAATAATAATAATATAATAATAATAATATAATAATAATGATAAACCAGATCAGTGCAGCAGGTTATGAAAGATAAATACATTTATAATCCAGAGATGCACTGCAGAATGAAGCAGATTAAGATGTTTGACTCAAATCCATCCACAGGTGATTCAGTAGTTTAACAGGTAAAAGTGGGCGGGGCCTCAGCTGAAGGTTTCATGCAGAAACAGGAAATGGACCAAACTGAGGAGTTAGCTTAGCAGAGCTAATCTCTGCTGCTAACAGAACCAAATCATTATTTACTTACATTTTCTTTCTAAACACCAAAAGAGAGAAAAGAATCTGTTCTGACCCGATTCGATCAATAGATCATTTTCTCCTCACATGTTTTGCTTTATAAGTTGTTATTCTGACCTGTTGATGGTTATTTTTTATATTATATATTCATTAAACTCAGTAAAACGACCTTAATGAAAAGTTTCTGGTTCTGTTGATTCCTTAGAGGAGACCAACCTGAGGGACAGAGGGACGTCCCTCTGAGTGGGACGTCCCACTGTGGCATCAGCAGAGTGAGAGAGAAGCACTCTGGAGGTCAAAGGTCAGTCTGCGTCTCTCTCTGTCTGTCCTCCTGACTGTCCTCTGTCTCCAGGGACGATCCAGGTCCAACCAGAAGACATCAATCAGTCTGATTAGTTTATTGATCAGTCTATTGATCTGATTATTGATTCAGACTGAAACTGGTTCCAGTCTCAGTTGGGATGTTTCTGTTTTCATTAATAATATAAACATCTTAATATTTACATGTTTATTCAGCAGGAAGCAGCTGATTGTCTACTTCCTGTTTTAAATAAAGTTTTCATCAGGACATGTTTTCACTCTGTTCCTTGGAGGAGGTCAGAGGTCAGCAGTGAGTCACCTGCTCATCATCATGTTGGTTTAATAACTTATTGATGAGATTCAGAGCAAAGAAGGAGAAATGAAAAGATTATTTTCTGAAAGGTTTTATTAATAAATCTGCTGAATCGACATGGAAAAGTTTATGAAATGTGATCAGATTTTTAATAAATATTTAATAAATAATGTTCAGGCTGGACTCATTTTACAGAGCAGATTTAAAAACATGAAACATTTTGTTTCATATGTCAAATGTTGTGAAATTGGGATTTTTTTTCCTCTTTTGCTCATAAAAATCTTTCAAAATAAATATTTGATCTGTTTGGATCCTTCAGGTGAAATATGGTGAAACCATGTGTTTCAGGGGAAATGTTGATATTATTTAATCATTAAAGAATCAGAATTCTTCTGTCTGAAGGTTTAGTGGAAGGAAAAACTCCCAAACATCAAAATACAACAAAGACACTGAAAACAACAAATCAAAACCAGAACAAAATCTCCAACAAGCTGAAGCAGAAACAGGAACAAAGTTCATCACTAATGAAAATGAAACATTAAACCACGATGGAAACATTCATTAAAATGTTAAATCAGTTGTTTCCAGTATTTGTTCTCCTCCAGGTGTTGATGTGATTCACATAAATCCCATTTTTAGTTCCATTTACTGAAGTTTGGACAATAGAAAATAAAAACACCTCTGATGGTTTTGATTGGCCACAGGAAGTGATGTGATGCTGATGGCCACCAGGTGGCGCCACCATCAACATTCATTCACCTGTTGAGGCTTTGATTTGAACTTTGGAGTTTTATGATCATATAAACAGAAACATTGGTTTTTATTTCATCTTCAGGTTTAAACTGCATCAAGAAACAACCAGGAAGTTAAAGACGTGGTTAAGCCACGCCCCTTTCTCCCCCACGCCCTGCAGAACAAAACAATATGTATATATCTAGTACATATATATGTATGTAAGTAAATACTGTGTATAACTGAGTGTGAACATTTCACTCAGTAATGAAATGGAAACTCATCTTGTATAAATATCATTTCATCTAATGAAGAAAAACTGAACAGTGAACAAAGAACAAAGAACATCAATAGGAAATGGAAAACTCTCAGGGTTAAAGCTTCACTTGTCCTCCGTCCCGCTGTCCGTCCCGCTGTCTGCTGTCCGTCCCGCTGTCTGCTGTCCGTCCTGCTGTCAGCTCAGACGTTCCTGCTCTTCCTCCTCTTCCTGCTCTTCCTCCTCTCGTCTCTGCCTCCGTTTCGGTCCGCGGCGTTTTGCAGCCATTTGGTGATTCTGGCCTCGATCTCTCTGTCGGTTGCTGTGGCAGTGAGCCGATTGCGCCTCACAGCCACTGAGACAAAAGAAAAGACATGAATGAATTAAACGTTCTGACACCACGGACCCAGTGGTGTCAGAACTGAGTCTGTGTTTTGTGTTTGGAAACGTCACATTGACATTTCTAGACTTGAGTCATTGTTAGATAATCTTCTACAGGTTTCACAGTTTTGGTTGATTGTGTTTAAATCCAGATGTTTTTCTTCTTCTACATCATGAAGAACCTGATGAATGCTGGTTCTTATCACTTGGTTCTGGGGATGCAGAACAGAACCAGAACCAGAACCAGAACCAGAACCAGCTGTTGTCATGAGAGACCCTGCCTCCAGGGGGCGCCCTTCTAGAGTAAGAATGTGATAATAAATCAATCTGAAAACCAGAAAAATAGACGTGAAAATGAGACACAGCTTATATAAATATTTTATATCAAAAATAGATTAAAATCTGGATTATCTTCACATTAAAGCTGTGAAGACTGCAGTGTTTACTGTCTACTGCTGCAGCACTTTGTGTTTTTATCTATATAAAAATATCCCAGTGTTTCCATCCCAGTATTGTATAGTTATTATTTTATATATTAAGGAGATCTTAGAGATGGAAGCTGACATGATGCTCATGGATGCAATAAATGTGAAATTATTAAATAATCATATTTAACAATAAATGTTAAATATGAAAACTGAAACCTACAATTTACTGAAAATATTTGGCCTTTACATTTTATTGACGAATCAGAGACAGAAACAGATGTTGACAGGAAATGTTCCTTCATCACAACGTCCAGAAACTAATCAAATCATCGTCTTCGCTTGTTAACTGCAGCAACCAGACATGTGACCTCTGAACCCCAGAGCCAGGAGCTCTGAGCACAGAGACACAGCCACGGTTTATACAGTTTATAAAGTTTATGACAGTAACTCCTGGCTGCAGCAGTGCATTCTGGGAAACATTTCTACACTGTAAAACCTGAACCTCCACTGAATTGAACCAAAGCTGCAGAGATGAAGCCCTTAAAGCTGTGAACTTACTGGTCACCAGTTTCTTCATGTGGAGACGCTGGAAGCCGATCTTCCCGTTCACGCCGCGCCAGTTCATCTGCTGGCTGAGCGAGTGTGTGAGCAGCGCTGCCATGATCCTGCCCACACACTCGTTCAGTGATCCTCCTCCCTGCAGAGCCAGAGCCGCGCTCTGCAAGCACAACAACAAATAATCGAGCCGTTCAATCCATCAGGAGCCGTTATTGATCTAACGGTCTTGGACTGGGATACAAACAGAACCGAACTTTGGCTCAGATCTGACTGCATGTGTTACTGCAGCTGCTCTTCAGATCCACATCCAGACTCTTTCCTGCACCTCAATCAGCATTTCATATTTCTACTGAACATTGTTGAAATAAAATGATGGATGTTAGTCATTATAAATGCAAACAGCATTTAGTGACCTTTACTCAGTTTTTTATGTGAGTAAAAACTGAAAGCTTTTCCAAATAAGTGCAGGATGTTAGTTGCTGCTTATTCTGATGTTATTTAGTATTTTCCATATTGTGTTGTTTGTGCTGCAGTGCAGTGATGCTGCAGCTCCTGCAGCTGATAATCTGACAGGTGATGCTGTAGGAAAACATGAACCTGGATTAAAACATGAATATGGATCATAAGCTACATGCAGGTCAACAGGAAAACATTTTGCTGTCATTCTTCATTCTCACCAGCTGATTGTGAAGCTCTGGGTTGTCATGAAGTTGAGCCTCCATGTCTTCAACAGACTGTTGGCTGTTCAGAGGAAACGATTTCAGCAGCAACTCGTCTCCAGATGGAGTCTGCAGGCCTTGGATTGATTTGTAAATTATTTTAATCTGATCCATCAGAACTTCCTGGTTCATTAGAATACTTTTGAGGAGTGCTGAAATAAAAGGTTTTATTAATGAGCATTTTAACCACATTATGATTCTAAAGCATGACTGGAGCACAAGACTTACAAAGATGAAAACAGGAACTATGACGATGGCTCCCTGGAGCAGGAGGAGAGGCGTGGTGGCTCAGTGGTGCTGCAGCAGAGCTGCAGTCTCTCAGTGGTGCTGCAGCAGAGCTGCAGTCTCTCAGTGGTGATGCAGCAGAGCTGCAGTCTCTCAGTGGTGATGCAGCAGAGCTGCAGTCTCTCAGTGGTGATGCAGCAGAGCTGCAGTCTCTCAGTGGTGATGCAGCAGAGCTGCAGTGGTTGAGATTTACAGGATTAGAAATTCTTGGTTCTGGTGTTAAACATCATATGTGCTTGTAAAGTTAGAACTTCATGCATTAATACAAATCCATTAGTTTCTCATTCTGATTGAAAAGAGAATAAATTAGAAACAACTTTTATACAATTTGGCTGCAACAGAAACCAGAAATAAAAGTTCAGCCATTTTATTCCTGGATCAACATTTTAACTGTTAATGAGAAAAACAACCAGCATCAGTTATAAACTAACTGGGTTACAGCAGAACTCTGGACTGCAACAGAACCAAATCAGAACCAAATCAGAACCAAATCAGAACCAGATCAGAACCAAATCAGAACCAGATCAGAACCAAATCAGAACCAAATCAGAACCAGATCAGAACCAAATCAGATCCAAACTGCAGACTCTCTGAACAGCCAGACATCTTCACCAGGAAGAGAATGTTGCTTCTATTCAATAATGTTTAAGAAAATAAAATCAATCAAAACATCAGTGATATTAGTGAGATACCAAACATGTCAAAATAAACTCACATTCTTCTTCTCTTCGGTTTGATTGGAGAATCATCATCAGAAACAGGATCACTGCTTTTCCTCCGTTTCTCCTGGTCGTCATCTACAGATAATTCAAAGATTTATAACCATTTGAAACCATTGAAGGTTTAAAGCTTCAGCTCTTAGAGCGCTCTTCCCTCCCCCACTCTGCTCCTTCAGACTAGCCAGCAGCAATTAGCTGGTGGAACTGCTGAGCTCAGCATAATGCAGGTAAAAGCATTTTAAAAGGAGCAATATTAAGTTTTTTCCTGGCACATAAAGCTAATTTTTTATACTATAGTCATCTATGTTACCTTCAGTTGTTATTAAAATGCTAAAAGAAGTTTGAGTTCACAAAGTAAGGCCTTTGTCCCTTTAAGAAGCTCCTGCTCTTTTCTCTATTAAATCATTAATAGAGAAAAGAGTCTGCTGCACTGAGAGTAGCTCCTATAAGCTCAGCAGATGTGCAGTTCTGCCACTTGTTAATTGCTGCTGCCGCTAGTCTGGAGGAACTGGGTGAAGGGCTTAGCGGCTGCAGCACAGAGGACGAGCTTTGTGGCAACAGGAGGGAGCGAGGCGTTCCTAAGAGTCAATAACAGGCAGGAATGAATCTAGAAAAGTCTCCAGATGTGTTTCTGATGAGGAAATAACATAATATAAACCCTCTGATGATTAACCATTATAGACTCAGATCACTGCACCGTTTATTGTTAAATCAAGTTGAACGTCAACAAATGTTTGGAACAAAATGGTTTAAATGGGTGATGTGTGTCGATGTGTGTTGATGTGTGTTGATGTGTGTAGATGTGTGTAGATGTGTGTAGTGTGTCGATGTGTGTTGATGTGTGTTGATGTGTGTAGATGTGTGTAGATGTGTGTTGATGTGTGTCGATGTGTGTTGATGTGTGTTGATGTGTGTCGATGTGTGTTGATGTGTGTTGATGTGTGTAGATGTGTGTAGATGTGTGTTGATGTGTGTAGATGTGTGTAGATGTGTGTTGATGTGTGTTGATGTGTGTAGATGTGTGTAGATGTGTGTTGATGTGTGTAGATGTGTGTAGATGTGTGTAGATGTGTGTTGATGTGTGTAGATGTGTGTTGATGTGTGTAGATGTGTGTAGATGTGTGTTGATGTGTGTTGATGTGTGTTGATGTGTGTAGATGTGTGTAGATGTGTGTTGATGTGTGTTGATGTGTGTCGATGTGTGTTGATGTGTGTTGATGTGTGTAGATGTGTGTAGATGTGTGTTGATGTGTGTCGATGTGTGTCGATGTGTGTTGATGTGTGTAGATGTGTGTAGATGTGTGTTGATGTGTGTAGATGTGTGTAGATGTGTGTTGATGTGTGTTGATGTGTGTAGATGTGTGTAGATGTGTGTTGATGTGTGTAGATGTGTGTAGATGTGTGTTGATGTGTGTTGATGTGTGTAGATGTGTGTTGATGTGTGTCGATGTGTGTAGATGTGTGTAGATGTGTGTTGATGTGTGTTGATGTGTGTAGATGTGTGTTGATGTGTGTCGATGTGTGTAGATGTGTGTAGATGTGTGTAGATGTGTGTTGATGTGTGTTGATGTGTGTTGATGTGTGTTGATGTGTGTAGATGTGTGTTGATGTGTGTTGATGTGTGTTGATGTGTGTTGGTGTGTGTTGATGTGTGTTGATGTGTGTAGATGTGTGTTGATGTGTGTAGATGTGTGTTGATGTGTGTCGATGTGTGTAGATGTGTGTTGATGTGTGTTGATGTGTGTAGATGTGTGTTGATGTGTGTAGATGTGTGTTGATGTGTGTTGATGTGTGTTGATGTGTGTAGATGTGTGTTGGTGTGTGTTGGTGTGTGTTGATGTGTGTTGATGTGTGTTTGTGTGTTGATGTGTGTTGATGTGTGTTGATGTGTGTTGATGTGTAGATGTGTGTTGATGTGTGTTGATGTGTGTTGATGTGTGTTGATGTGTAGATGTGTGTTGATGTGTGTTGATGTGTGTTGGTGTGTGTTGTTGTGTGTTGGTGTGTGTTGTTGTGTGTTGGTGTGTGTTGTTGTGTGTTGGTGTGTGTTGTTGTGTGTTGATGTGTGTTGTTGTGTGTTGTTGTGTGTTGATGTGTGTTGGTGTGTGTTGATGTGTGTTGATGTGTGTTGGTGTGTGTTGATGTGTGTCGATGTGTGTTGATGTGTGTTGATGTGTGTTGGTGTGTGTTGATGTGTGTCGATGTGTGTTGGTGTGTGTTGATGTGTGTCGATGTGTGTTGATGTGTGTTGATGTGTGTTGGTGTGTGTTGATGTGTGTTGATGTGTGTTGATGTGTGTCGATGTGTGTTGATGTGTGTCGATGTGTGTTGGTGTGTGTTGATGTGTGTTGATGTGTGTTGATGTGTGTCGATGTGTGTTGATGTGTGTTGATGTGTGTTGGTGTGTGTTGATGTGTGTTGGTGTGTGTTGATGTGTGTCGATGTGTGTTGATGTGTGTTGATGTGTGTTGGTGTGTGTTGATGTGTGTTGGTGTGTGTTGATGTGTGTTGATGTGTGTTGGTGTGTGTTGATGTGTGTCGATGTGTGTTGATGTGTGTTGATGTGTGTTGGTGTGTTTGATGTGTGTTGGTGTGTGTTGGTGTGTGTTGTGTGTGTTGATGTGTGTTGGTGTGTGTTGGTGTGTGTTGGTGTGTGTTGATGTGTGTTGGTGTGTGTTGATGTGTGTTGATGTGTGTTGGTGTGTCGATGTGTGTTGATGTGTGTTGATGTGTGTTGGTGTGTCGATGTGTGTTGATGTGTGTTGATGTGTGTTGGTGTGTGTTGGTGTGTGTTGATGTGTGTTGGTGTGTGTTGGTGTGTGTTGGTGTGTGTTTATGTGTGTTGATGTGTGTTGGTGTGTGTTGATGTGTGTTGGTGTGTGTTGGTGTGTGTTGGTGTGTGTTGGTGTGTGTTGGTGTGTGTTGGTGTGTGTTGATGTGTGTTGGTGTGTGTTGATGTGTGTTGGTGTGTGTTGGTGTGTGTTGGTGTGTGTTGATGTGTGTTGATGTGTGTTGGTGTCGATGTGTGTTGATGTGTGTTGATGTGTGTTGGTGTGTCGATGTGTGTTGATGTGTGTCGATGTGTGTTGGTGTGTGTTGATGTGTGTCGATGTGTGTTGGTGTGTGTTGGTGTGTGTTGGTGTGTGTTGGTGTGTTGATGTGTGTTGGTGGTGTTGATGTGTGTTGGTGTGTGTTGATGTGTGTTGATGTGTGTTGGTGTGTGTTGATGTGTGTTGGTGTGTGTCGATGTGTGTCGATGTGTGTTGATGTGTGTTGGTGTGTGTTGGTGTGTGTTGATGTGTGTTGATGTGTGTTGGTGTGTTGGTGTGTGTTGATGTGTGTTGGTGTGTTGGTGTGTGTTGATGTGTGTTGGTGTGTGTTGATGTGTGTTGATGTGTGTTGGTGTGTGTCGATGTGTGTTGATGTGTGTTGATGTGTGTTGATGTGTGTTGATGTGTGTCGATGTGTGTTGATGTGTGTCGATGTGTGTTGATGTGTGTTGGTGTGTGTTGGTGTGTGTCGATGTGTGTCGATGTGTGTCGATGTGTGTTGATGTGTGTTGGTGTGTGTTGATGTGTGTTGATGTGTGTCGATGTGTGTTGATGTGTGTAGATGTGTGTTGGTGTGTGTTGATGTGTGTCGATGTGTGTCGATGTGTGTCGATGTGTGTAGGTGTGTGTTGGTGTGTGTTGATGTGTGTCGATGTGTGTCGATGTGTGTTGATGTGTGTTGATGTGTGTTGATGTGTGTCGATGTGTGTCGATGTGTGTAGATGTGTGTTGGTGTGTGTTGGTGTGTGTTGGTGTGTGTTGATGTGTGTTGATGTGTGTTGGTGTGTGTTGATGTGTGTTGGTGTGTGTTGATGTGTGTTGATGTGTGTTGGTGTGTGTTGATGTGTGTTGATGTGTGTTGATGTGTGTTGATGTGTGTTGATGTGTGTTGATGTGTGTTGGTGTGTGTTGATGTGTGTTGATGTGTGTTGGTGTGTGTTGATGTGTGTTGATGTGTGTCGATGTGTGTTGATGTGTAGATGTGTGTTGGTGTGTGTTGATGTGTGTTGATGTGTGTTGGTGTGTGTTGGTGTGTGTTGGTGTGTTTTGATGTGTGTCGATGTGTGTCGATGTGTGTTGATGTGTGTTGATGTGTGTTGATGTGTGTTGGTGTGTGTTGATGTGTGTTGATGTGTGTTGGTGTGTGTTGGTGTGTGTTGGTGTGTGTTGATGTGTGTTGATGTGTGTTGGTGTGTGTTGATGTGTGTTGGTGTGTGTTGATGTGTGTTGATGTGTGTTGGTGTGTGTTGATGTGTGTTGATGTGTTGATGTGTGTTGATGTGTGTTGATGTGTGTTGATGTGTGTTGGTGTGTGTTGATGTGTGTTGATGTGTGTTGTGTGTGTTGATGTGTGTTGATGTGTGTCGATGTGTGTTGATGTGTGTGGGTGTGTGTTGGTGTGTGTTGATGTGTGTGGATGTGTGTTGGTGTGTTTGGTGTGTGTTGGTGTGTGTTGATGTGTGTTGATGTGTGTTGGTGTGTGTTGATGTGTGTTGGTGTGTGTTGATGTGTGTTGATGTGTGTTGATGTGTGTTGGTGTGTGTTGATGTGTGTTGATGTGTGTTGATGTGTGTTGATGTGTGTCGATGTGTGTTGGTGTGTGTCGATGTGTGTTGGTGTGTGTTGATGTGTGTTGGTGTGTGTTGATGTGTGTTGGTGTGTGTTGATGTGTGTTGATGTGTGTCGATGTGTGTTGGTGTGTGTCGATGTGTGTTGGTGTGTGTTGATGTGTGTTGGTGTGTGTTGGTGTGTGTTGGTGTGTTGGTGTGTGTTGATGTGTGTTGATGTGTGTTGGTGTTGTTGGTGTGTGTTGGTGTGTGTTGGTGTGTGTTGATGTGTGTCGGTGTGTGTTGGTGTGTGTGATGTGTGTTGATGTGTGTTGATGTGTGTTGTTGTGTGTTGATGTGTGTTGATGTGTGTTGATGTGTGTTGATGTGTGTTGTTGTGTGTGATGTGTGTTGATGTGTGTTGATGTGTGTTGATGTGTGTTGATGTGTGTTGTTGTGTGTTGATGTGTGTTGGTGTGTGTTGGTGTGTGTTGATGTGTGTTGATGTGTGTTGGTGTGTGTTGATGTGTGTTGGTGTGTGTCGATGTGTGTCGGTGTGTGTCGGTGTGTGTCGATGTGTGTCGATGTGTGTTGATGTGTGTAGATGTGTGTCGGTGTGTGTTGATGTGTGTTGATGTGTGTTGGTGTGTGTTGATGTGTGTTGATGTGTGTTGATGTGTGTTGATGTGTGTTGATGTGTGTAGATGTGTGTTGATGTGTGTTGATGTGTGTTGGTGTGTGTTGATGTGTGTTGATGTGTGTTGATGTGTGTTGATGTGTGTTGATGTGTGTTGTGTGTGTTGGTGTGTGTTGGTGTGTGTTGATGTGTGTTGATGTGTGTTGGTGTGTGTTGATGTGTGTTGATGTGTGTTGGTGTGTGTTGGTGTGTGTTGATGTGTGTTGGTGTGTGGTGTGTGTTGATGTGTGTTAGTGTGTGTTGGTGTGTGTTGATGTGTGTTGATGTGTGTTGATGTGTGTTGATGTGTGTTGATGTGTGTTGGTGTGTGTTGGTGTGTGTTGGTGTGTGTTGATGTGTGTTGATGTGTGTTGATGTGTGTTGATGTGTGTTGGTGTGTGTTAGTGTGTGTTGGTGTGTGTTGATGTGTGTTGATGTGTGTTGATGTGTGTTAGTGTGTGTTGATGTGTGTTGATGTGTGTTGATGTGTGTTGATGTGTGTTGATGTGTGTTGGTGTGTGTTGGTGTGTGTTGGTGTGTGTGTGTGATGTGTGTTGGTGTGTGTTAGTGTGTGTTGGTGTGTGTTGATGTGTGTTGGTGTGTGTTGATGTGTGTTGGTGTGTGTTGGTGTGTGTTGATGTGTGTTGATGTGTGTTGATGTGTGTTGGTGTGTGTTGATGTGTGTTGGTGTGTGTTGGTGTGTGTGGTGTGTGTTGGTGTGTGTTGATGTGTGTTGGTGTGTGTTGATGTGTGTTGTGTGTGTTGGTGTGTTGGTGTGTGTTGATGTGTGTTAGTGTGTGTTGGTGTGTGTTGATGTGTGTTGGTGTGTGTTGATGTGTGTTGGTGTGTGTGTGTGTTGATGTGTGTTGTGTGTGTGTTGATGTGTGTTGGTGTGTTTGGTGTGTGTTGGTGTGTGTTGATGTGTGTTGTGTGTGTTGGTGTGTGTTGGTGTGTGTTGATGTGTGTTGGTGTGTGTTGATGTGTGTTGGTGTGTGTTGGTGTTGTTGATGTGTGTTAGTGTGTGTTGATGTGTGTTGGTGTGTGTGATGTGTGTTGGTGTGTGTTGATGTGTGTTGATGTGTGTTTGTGTGTTGGTGTGTGTTGGTGTGTGTTGGTGTGTGTTGATGTGTGTTGATGTGTGTTGATGTGTGTTGTGTGTGTTGGTGTGTGTTGATGTGTGTTGATGTGTGTTGATGTGTGTTGATGTGTGTTGGTGTGTTGATGTGTGTTGGTGTGTGTTGATGTGTTGGTGTGTGTTGGTGTGTTTGGTGTGTGTTGATGTGTGTTGTTGTGTGTTGATGTGTGTTGGTGTGTGTTGATGTGTTGGTGTGTGGTTGTGTGTTGATGTGTTGGTGTGTGTTGGTGTGTGTTGGTGTGTGTTGATGTGTTGGTGTGTGTTGGTGTGTGTTGGTGTGTGTTGGTGTGTTGATGTGTGTTGATGTGTGTTGATGTGTGTTGATGTGTGTTGATGTGTGTTGATGTGTTGGTGTGTGTTGGTGTGTGTTGGTGTGTGTTGATGTGTTTGGTGTGTGTTGGTGTGTTGGTGTGTGTTGGTGTGTGTTGATGTGTTGGTGTGTGTTGGTGTGTGTTGTGTGTGTTGGTGTGTGTTGATGTGTGTTGGTGTGTGTTGATGTGTGTTGATGTGTGTTGGTGTGTTGATGTGTGTTGGTGTGTGTTGGTGTGTTGGTGTGTGTTGGTGTGTTGATGTGTGTTGGTGTGTTGATGTGTGTTGGTGTGTGTTGATGTGTGTTGATGTGTGTTGATGTGTGTTGATGTGTGTTGATGTGTGTTGATGTGTGTTGATGTGTGTTGGTGTGTGTTGGTGTGTGTTGATGTGTTGGTGTGTGTTGGTGTGTGTTGGTGTGTGTTGGTGTGTGTTGATGTGTGTTGGTGTGTGTTGATGTGTGTTGATGTGTGTTGGTGTGTTGATGTGTGTTGGTGTGTTGATGTGTGTTGATGTGTGTTGATGTGTGTTGGTGTGTGTTGATGTGTGTTGATGTGTGTTGATGTGTGTTGATGTGTGTTGGTGTGTGTTGGTGTGTTTGGTGTGTGTTGATGTGTTGGTGTGTGTTGGTGTGTGTTGATGTGTTGGTGTGTGTTGATGTGTTGATGTGTGTTGATGTGTGTTGATGTGTGTTGGTGTGTGTTGATGTGTGTTGATGTGTGTTGATGTGTGTTGATGTGTGTTGGTGTGTGTTGGTGTGTGTTGGTGTGTTTGTGTGTTGGTGTGTTGGTGTGTGTTGATGTGTGTTGGTGTGTTGATGTGTTGATGTGTGTTGATGTGTGTTGGTGTGTGTTGGTGTGTTGATGTGTGTTGATGTGTGTTGATGTGTGTTGGTGTGTGTTGATGTGTGTTGATGTGTGTTGATGTGTGTTGATGTGTGTTGATGTGTGTTGTTGTGTGTTGATGTGTGTTGGTGTGTGTTGATGTGTGTTGATGTGTGTTGGTGTGTGTTGATGTGTTGGTGTGTGTGTGTGTTGGTGTGTGTTGGTGTGTGTTGGTGTGTGTTGATGTGTGTTGGTGTGTGTTGATGTGTGTTGATGTGTGTTGGTGTGTGTTGATGTGTTGGTGTGTGTTGGTGTGTTGGTGTGTGTTGGTGTGTGTTGGTGTGTGTTGATGTGTGTTGATGTGTGTTGATGTGTGTTGGTGTGTGTTGGTGTGTTGGTGTGTGTTGATGTGTTTGTGTGTTGGTGTGTTGGTGTGTGTTGATGTGTTAGTGTGTGTTGGTGTGTGTTGATGTGTGTTGATGTGTGTTGGTGTGTGTTGGTGTGTGTTGGTGTGTGTTGATGTGTGTTGGTGTGTGTTGGTGTGTGTTGGTGTGTGTTGGTGTGTGTTGATGTGTGTTGATGTGTGTTGATGTGTGTTGATGTGTGGTGTGGTGTGTGTTGGTGTGTGTTGGTGTGTGGTGTGTGTCGATGTGTTAGTGTGTGTTGGTGTGTGTTGATGTGTGTTGGTGTGTGTTGGTGTGTGTTGTGTGTGTTGTGTGTTGGTGTGTGTTGATGTGTGTTGGTGTGTGTTGGTGTGTGTCGATGTGTTAGTGTGTGTTGGTGTGTGTTGGTGTGTGTTGATGTGTGTTGGTGTGTGTTGATGTGTTTGTTGTGTGTTGGTGTGTGTCGGTGTGTGTTGTGTGTGTTGGTGTTGTGTTGGTGTGTTGTTGTGTTGTTGTGTGTGTGGTGTGTGTCGTTGTGTTGGTGTGTGTCGGTGTGTGTTGGTGTGTGTTGATGTGTGTTGGTGTGTGTCGATGTGTGTTGGTGTGTGTTGGTGTGTGTCGGTGTGTGTTGGTGTGTGTTGATGTGTGTTGGTGTGTTGATGTGTGTTGGTGTGTGTTGGTGTGTGTTGGTGTGTGTTGGTGTGTGTTGATGTGTGTTGGTGTGTGTCGATGTGTTAGTGTGTGTTGGTGTGTGTTGGTGTGTGTTGATGTGTGTTGGTGTGTGTTGGTGTGTGTTGATGTGTTAGTGTGTGTTGGTGTGTGTTGATGTGTGTTGGTGTGTGTTGGTGTGTGTTGGTGTGTTGATGTGTGTTGATGTGTGTTGGTGTGTGTCGATGTGTTAGTGTGTGTTGGTGTGTGTTGGTGTGTGTTGTTGTGTGTTGGTGTGTGTTGGTGTGTGTTTGGTGTGTGTTGGTGTGTGTTGGTGTGTTGATGTGTGTTGGTGTGTTGATGTGTGTGTTGGTGTGTGTTGATGTGTGTTGGTGTGTGTTGGTGTGTGTTGGTGTGTTGGTGTGTTGGTGTGTGTCGATGAGGAACATTAAATCTCTCACTGGATGTAAGGATCAGTCTGACGCCGTCAGGAAGCCAGTCTGCAGCTGCTGATGGCCACGTTTCCTCAACACACGTCACTGGAAGAAGCTCGGCTTCGTTTTGTGTTTTGGAAAACAATCTGGAACATCGCCTGCATGATGCACATTTGAAAAAGTAAATTAACACAAAACAATAAAGAGCTTGATGAACAAGAACAACATGGGAAGAAAACTAAACATTTGTTTTAGAAGCCTGGAGCTCAGTAGCTCAGTAGCAGGGTTCTGGTTCTGGTTCTGGTTCTGGTTTGGGTTTAGGAATGAAGGGTTGGGGTAGCAGCAGGCCTGGTTTCATCACCTGATCCAAACTAAAACACATACAGGGACAACAGAACCATTTTATATGCAGTCTGATAGTTTTTGGATGAGTTTTAGGTTCCCTCCCTGCAGCAAACTGTTCCTCCATCAGGAACATGGTCTTTAATTTAATGCAGAAATCTGTCTGTAGTTCTGGTGATGAAACATCTCTACTAAAACTGTTCTATGCAACACAATCCATAGTCATAATGTTCACCCCAAACCAAGAAACCAGCATGAAAACAGAAAATTTACTGAGAAAACAATAAATATGAGTTATGTCACCTTCAACAATGCATGAAAGTTATTTTATGCTCAGCAACATTTCAAAGCCCTTCAAACCTTTGGCCCCTCAAACCTTTGCCCCTCAAACCTTTGGCCCCTCAAACCTTTGTCCCCTCAAACCTTTGGCCCCTCAAACCTTTGGCCCCTCAAACCTTTGGCCCCTCAAACCTTTGGCCCTCAAACCTTTGGCCCTCAAACCTTTGGCCCCTCAAACTTTTGGCCCTCAAACCTTTGGCCCTCAAACCTTTGGCCCCTCAAACTTTTGGCCCTCAAACCTTTGGCCCCTCAAACTTTTGGCCCTCAAACCTTTGGCCCCTCAAACCTTTGTCCCCTCAAACTTTTGGCCCTCAAACCTTTGGCCCTCAAACCTTTGGCCCCTCAAACCTTTGGCCCTCAAACCTTTGTCCCCTCAAACTTTTGGCCCTCAAACCTTTGGCCCTCAAACTTTTGTCCCCTCAAACTTTTGTCCCCTCAAACCTTTGGCCCCTCAAACCTTTGGCCCCTCAAACCTTTGGCCCCTCAAACCTTTGGCCCTTCAAACCTTTGTCCCCTCAAACCTTTGGCCCTTCAAATCTTTGGCCCCTCAAACCTTTGGCCCTCAAACCTTTGTCCCCTCAAACCTTTGGCCCTTCAAACCTTTGTCCCCTCAAACCTTTGGCCCTTCAAATCTTTGGCCCCTCAAACCTTTGGCCCTCAAACCTTTGGCCCTTCAAACCTTTGGCCCCTCAAACCTTTGTCCCCTCAAACCTTTGGCCCTCAAACCTTTGGCCCTTCAAACCTTTGTCCCCTCAAACCTTTGGCCCTTCAAACCTTTGTCCCCTCAAACCTTTGGCCCTCAAACCTTTGGCCCTTCAAACCTTTGGCCCCTCAAACCTTTGGCCCCTCAAACCTTTGGCCCTCAAACCTTTGGCCCTTCAAACCTTTGGCCCCTCAAACCTTTGGCCCTCAAACCTTTGGCCCTCAAACCTTTGGCCCTTCAAACCTTTGTCCCCTCAAACCTTTGGCCCTCAAACCTTTGGCCCTTCAAACCTTTGGCCCTCAAACTTTTGTCCCCTCAAACTTTTGGCCCCTCAAACCTTTGCCCCTCAAACCTTTGCCCCTCAAACCTTTGGCCCCTCAAACCTTTGTCCCCTCAAACCTTTGGCCCTTCAAACCTTTGGCCCCTCAAACCTTTGTCCCCTCAAACCTTTGGCCCTCAAACTTTTGTCCCCTCAAACTTTTGGCCCCTCAAACCTTTGCCCCTCAAACCTTTGGCCCTTCAAATCTTTGGCCCCTCAAACCTTTGGCCCTCAAACCTTTGTCCCCTCAAACCTTTGTCCCCTCAAACCTTTGTCCCTTCAAACCTTTGACCCCTCAAACCTTTGACCCCTCAAACCTTTGGCCTTCAAACCTTTGTCCCCTCAAACCTTTGTCCCCTCAAACCTTTGGCCCCTCAAACCTTTGGCCCCTCAAACCTTTGGCCCCTCAAACCTTTGTCCCCTCAAACCTTTGTCCCCTCAAACCTTTGTCCCTTCAAACCTTTGGCCCCTCAAACCTTTGGCCTTCAAACCTTTGTCCCCTCAAACCTTTGTCCCCTCAAACCTTTGGCCCCTCAAACCTTTGTCCCCTCAAACCTTTGTCCCCTCAAACCTTTGGCCCTTCAAACCTTTGGCCCCTCAAACCTTTGTCCCCTCAAACCTTTGGCCCCTCAAACCTTTGTCCCCTCAAACCTTTGTCCCCTCAAACCTTTGTCCCTTCAAACCTTTGACCCCTCAAACCTTTGACCCCTCAAACCTTTGCCCCTCAAACCTTTGGCCTTCAAACCTTTGTCCCCTCAAACCTTTGGCCCTTCAAACCTTTGGCCCCTCAAACCTTTGGCCCCTCAAACTTTTGGCCCCTCAAACCTTTGGCCCCTCAAACCTTTGGCCCCTCAAACCTTTGGCCCCTCAAACCTTTGGCCCCTCAAACCTTTGGCCCCTCAAACTTTTGGCCCCTCAAACCTTTGGCCCCTCAAACCTTTGGCCCCTCAAACCTTTGGCCCCTCAAACCTTTGGCCCCTCAAACCTTTGGCCCTCAAACCTTTGTCCCCTCAAACCTTTGTCCCTTCAAACCTTTGACCCCTCAAACCTTTGACCCCTCAAACCTTTGGCCCCTCAAACCTTTGGCCCTCAGTGTTTTAGGGGTTTTCCTGTTGATACTAACAGGCTGAAGGTGATTAACTGGCTTCTCCAGCCTGGTGAAAATACAATCATTTGATTTGAATTAAAAACAGAAGCTCACATTTTCTGATCTATGTGATGGAAACTATTTGATGGTCGAATCTTATTTCACCCAGATGGGGGATCATGTGTCATATTAAATAAAAAGGCAGCAAAGGTAGAACAATTGAACTCAGTTGTGAACGTCCTCCCTGCACACACAGACATGTGACCCATATCGACTCCCATCGACGATGTGAGGCTCTCAGACTCTCTAACGTCCAGACAGGAAGTCCTATAAAACCTTGAGAGTCCAGAATAAATAAACCTGGTGGATGAGGAAGAACCAGTGGCCACAGTTTGTGGAGTAAGTCAGAAAAAACCATACAGAGAAGGTGAAGAAGCTCCAACAGAACCTGAAACACTGATGTATGGAGGAGCTGATGAGTTTTTGTCCAGGAAACTGTTGTTCCTGCCTCCAGATGGTCCTGATGTTTCATTAAGCTAAAAGCTCACATATACTGACGAGTTCTTCAACTTTCACCTCAGATATTTAACATATTTCCAGCTGCATAATCACTGTTGCACCTTGACACAGTGTTTGGGATTCTCTCTGTGCTCAAGTCACCAAGCCACACTTTCTGAATGCTACCTGAATGCTAACTGCTTCCTGAATGCTACCTGCTTCCTGAATGCTACCTGAATGCTTCCTGAATGCTACCTGAATGCTACCTGAATGCTACCTGAATGCTTCCTGAATGCTACCTGAATGCTACCTGCTTCCTGAATGCTACCTGAATGCTAGTCTGAACAGACCTGGAATCACCACATTCAGCTTCAGCAGCTTTATTAAAGACACAAAATGTCCATAGAAAGATAATTTAAGAAAATTTTTAAAAGAAATGGGGCAAGTGAAGTACGTTTACTTGTGCCTGCCTCTTTTTCAAACAGATAGTTATCTAAATATATGTAAAACCTTCTACTGTGATAAATGTCGTGAATCAGATATTAGCTTAGCATTTTCAACAGTACAACATACGCTGTAAAATAGTTCTAAAGGTTATTGGTAATAAATGTCAATACTTACTGGTAGTCGGAAAAATCTATGTAGACCAAGATTAATAATTTATTTGAGATAAAAATGACAGTTTGAGATCGACGTTCAGCCGAGATCAGAGAGCGGTTAAGCTAGTCCGTTAGCATGGAGACGGCGCTGACGGCTGCAGTTTGTGACGTCCGCCACCAGGAGGAGACAAACCGCTCCACCAGAACTCTGATCATTTTTATTGACAGGCTTAAATCATCTACAGAAACGTTGATATTTCACTTCAGAGAAAATAAAACTGATGTTTCTACATTAAACGTTTTAATTAACCCAAACATTTAAATAAATCAAAATCACAGATAATCAAATGTTGTTCTTAAATAAAGTGTTTATTAATAAAACTGGTTGTTTTCTGATCACTGAAAGGAAATAATCCAGACTAAGATGTGAAGGTTTTATTTTCTTTAGAATGAAACCAAAATGAAACGTTAGACAATCTGAGTTCAACAAATCTTAACTTTCACATCATTGTTTCTATTTTAAACACATTTCTGTCAGTGATCAGAGAACATGATGTAACTGAGTCTGGTTAATAATCGCTAAACAATAAAATAAAACTAAATGAATCATTAACTCACATCTTTCATCATTTAATCTGCTGCTAATTCAGTTCTGAGTCAAAATGTGTAGAAAACACAAATATTAAGAGAAAAACAACACAAACGAGTAAAATATTATAAAACATATAAAAATATATTGTAGTTTTAACAAAAATGACTCTAATGTGTAAGAACATTATTATTATTAATGTAGAGGATCATTTAAATGCTGTAAAATATGTTATTTAGAGAAAACACAGTTTAAACCCACAAGACCTGAACACACATTGTGTTTACATCTGAACACATGAATATAGATTATAACCAATCAGAGGAAACCTGGACAGAAATCAGATGAAACTGCAAAACACAAAGTTTTCAACAACCAGAAAAGTTTTCTCCACTTCCATGAACTTTATGACTGATTAGAGCTTTTAGTGTTTTAATGCTTCTGGTTGGAGGAGAACAGCAGACGCCACTGAGGTCAAACTTCTCCATGGTGATTATTGCTTCATCTGGCATGAAGATAAAAACTCTGAGTTTTTGTTTCCTCTCATTTTCCATGAAGTCCAGACTTTACAGGACATCACTGTTAGCTTTAGCTTAGCTTTAGCTTAGCTTTATCTTCAGCTCGTTTCAGTCCAGATGCATTAGACTGGAGGGTCCTGCAGAGGACAGGGAGGGGAACCAGGAACATGGCAGCAGAGCTGAGATTATAGAGGAACTAAAACACTAACAGCAGCTCAGCTTGTTAATAATTATGATCTGTTTGGTTCTGCTTGTTATTCCAGAACCAAAGAATCATTTTCATTTCCTTTAACATCAACGTTACATTTTAGTTTTAATGCTTTTCTCCCAAATTATTTTCATTCATAAACGGATTAAATGGAGAATCTCAGTTTGTTTTCAGAAGGTTGAAGCTTTTTACAGCTCAAACATTGAAGAAACTTTTGAAACTGTAATAAATGTTGAATCTTAATGCTGATGTTCTTTCCTCAGGTGGTGCTGATGGACCAGCTGATGAAAGGTCACCGGTTGCTGGTGATCAAACCAACCTGAGGCTGAGTTTTACATTTCCAACATGACATTATTTCCTTGTTCTCGGTTTCACACAACTTCTGCCGTCTGATGTGATCGTTTCTTCTCCTGTACAGATAAAACCAACAGCAGCAACAACACAAACCGTCAGAACTACAACAAGAACTGCAACAAGAACAGCAACGTTTGGACTGATGGTTCCGACTGTGAAAACTCTCTGGACGTCTCCTGCTTCGTCTCCTGCTTCGTCTCCTGCTTCGTCTCCTGCTTCGTCTCCTGCTCGTCTCCTGCAGGTCAGGGTGGATCAGTTTCCTGCCAGCTCAGATGAATCTCCAGCTGTCAGGTGAACGTACCTGACGCAGCGCGATCCTCAGCCGGCTGAGCTGCAGGTGTTCCTCCGCCTCGGTCCCAGAGCTGCTCATCAGAACCCGACACCGGAACGTCCCCTCGTCCTCCACAGAGACGTTCTTCAGGACCACAGAGACGTCCCCGCTGCTGGCGCCGGACCGGTCCTTCAGCGCCACTCGGCCTCTGAAGGACCGGTGCTGGTACTTGTCGTACGGCCGGCCGTTGCGGTAGAAGAAGACGTACTCGTTGGCCGGCAGGTTGTCTTTGGTCCACTCCACCACGGTGGCAGCCGCGGCGCCGGGAGTCTGGCACGCAGGTCAGCATCTCCTCCGGGGGTCACCACCACTGGACCGGACCACAGAACCAGACATTACCACAGTGTCTCACATGGACGATGAGGGACGATGAGGGACAATGAGGGACGATGTCCCGGCTGCATGCAGGAAGCTGCTGCTCCACTGCATCTGAAATGCACTGAACAGCTTTAACACTGATCCTTCCAGCTGCTACCAGAACCATCTCTGCTCCTCATGACTCAGCAGGTTACATCCCTGATTGAAATGTTTCATCAGATCTTATAAGATTCAATCAAACAGAATCCTGATGTTTTTCCTTCATGTTTCTGATGCTGAGATGTTCTAAAACGTAACCACTGGTTTAAAATGAGCAGCACCAGTAGAAACTGGTTCTGCTGGTCAATGCATCCGAACCCGACCAGCTGCAGCCGGATCTGCTCTGCTGGGCTGATCAGAAACTGCAGCATGATGAACAACAAACCAGCAGAGCTTAAAGCTTTTATGTTTACATTTTATTCTCATGAGCAAATTTTATACTCTTACATTTTAACCTAAAGAGTAAATCCTCTACACTTCAACTAGTTTTAAATTTTATTATATCTTTATTTAGTTGTAATTTATAAAACATGTATTTATGAGATCATTTCATCTTTACGATATGAAGGAAAACTTTCAAATTAAACTAATGTTGTGTTTCTGTACTGAAAGAGGAATAATAAATAAACCATAAGTCATGTAACATCTGGACAGAAATTGAAATCAGCATAATTTAAACTGCATGTTACTGAACATAAAACCCCCTGAACTCACCGTCAGCAGCAGAAACCTGCAGGATCAGCACAAAACAGGCGATTAAATGCAAAATGATCATTTCTGCAGCGGAAAATCATCGAGTTTCTGACGGTCGATCAGCTGCAGGATCAAATGAACTGAAACTGAAAACGAAGAAATGAAGTAAACAAGGGACTAAAATGGCTCCTTCCGCCCCCTGGTGGACAAACACAGGAAGCAACAGACCTCTAATTATTAGTTTTCTTCTTATTATAAACAGACATTTTTTCTTACTGTTGTGTTGAAACACTCACTAAAATCTGATGTTACCACTGGGTGGCGCTGTTCTTCAGAAATGATTCATATAGTTACTGTCAGGTTGAATTAATCAGGACCTTTTATAAATCAAACATACTTCAACAAAACCAGAAACTAAAGATGCATCAGATTCATTTAGTCATCAAAACGTTTTATCATCTTTAACTTTCTGATTCCATTTTTAAAAATTCAGGAATTTATTTATGATGAATTCTGATAAAAACACAAAAAAGAAAATGAGCTGAAAAAAGTTCATTCAGCTGAACATAACATTAAATAATTAACCAAAATGAACAGAACCTGGTATGGCAAGACATTAACAACAATAATACTGGACCTCGAAAGCGAGCTGCAGTGACCTGTTGGACCAGCAGGGGGAGCTCAACACAAGCCTCCAGCCTTCCCTCCAATATTTACTGTCTAATAATCATAAAGGATCAGCATTTAGTTTCAGCTTCTACCTTAATTCATCTTAACCTGCAGGTTGATTCTACATTCTGTTTTCTATATTTAAAAATTCAGAAGTTTGTCGCATTAATGAGAAGCATCAATAAATCCTGAGAATGACTGAACATTGATGACATAATCAGTGCTAGCATTACTAACGCTGCTATTGTTGCTAATGTTGCTAACACTGCTAATGTTGCTAACACTGCTAATGTTGCTAATGTTGCTATTGTTGCTAATGTTGCTAACTGTCTGTTTTTCGGCCAGTCTCAGCTGAAACAGCTCAGATCTGCTTCCTGTTAAAGTTTTCTAACCGCAGGAGGGAGGAAGGGGAGGAAACACAAACTTCTCTTGATTTCACAGAAACAGAAACGATGAGAGGAGCATCATGGCTGATCGGTGAGTGCGGATGGAGCTTAATCTGTTTTAATCTGCAGATTAATAGCTTCATTAATAATGAGATGAATCAGCAATTTACCAGACAAACAGAAAAATATTACAAAATGAGAAACTCTCTCAGTTTTATTTATCATTTCATATTTCTTTCTGTTTCTCTGGAAACCAGAGAGAAGCAGCAAGTCAGTCTGTTGATGAAGATTTGAAGTTTTTCTAAACTTCTAGGAATATCAAGCTGCGTTTATGAACTTTCAGTCAATATGATGAACTTTTATCATTTGTGCTGTTTGAGGAGGAAGCAGTTAGAGCCTCCTGGTTGGTCTCTGCAGGGAGTCTGCATGTTGGTTCTGCAGTTAATCTTCAGTAACTACTTGTGTGTGTGTGTGTGTGTGTGTGTGTGTGTGTGTGTGTGTGTGTGTGTGTGTGTGTGTGTGTGATTCTTTTGAACCTCTAAACATCGGATCGGTTCTGTAGAACCAAGTCGTATCGTCTGCAGTCTGAAGCTCATGATGCTTTTATGAGACTTTAATTCTGCAGCAGAAGAAACCAGACGGTAAAATAAAAAATTAGATTTCAGCAAAAAACTCAGATTTGAGCATCAAAGCATCACCCTAATCTTTACCTCATGTGATTCAAAGCTGGACTGCAGGATGTGACCAGAGGACAGTGAACGCCTCACTCATGTTCTACTGAACGTTTCTTCTGTTATTTTCTTGTTTCTCTCTTTAAGATCTTTCTTGTGATTTTTGTGATTTTTGATCAATTTTATTGGCTCTTTCAGTTTTGATATCAGAACTTCTCTGGACATCAAACCCGGGTGAGTAAATTCACCACAGATCTATAATCTCAGATGTCACAGTCAGCAGATTCCTCTGCAGTTAAACTGTTTACCGCCCCTGCTGGACATGGAGGAATGTTCACTTTTCACATTCATGTTTTCACTCAGTTCATAGAGCAGCTCGAGTTTCTGCAACGTTTTTACATCTTGTTTGTGTTTCATCTAAAGCTTCACATGAAGAACAAAATGAATCTGAACAGATCCAACATTTTCAATCTGAGGCGGAAACATGAAATGAATCCAAACTGGAACATAGTCAATAGGGGGCGCTGTGTGTGGCGACTCATATGGTGGAAGTTAAAACAAACTCCTGGTTTGTGACATTGAATAAATGTTTTAATGTATTTTCCAGTCCTCCCAGTTCGTCTGACTGTGAGTCCCAGCAGATCCCAGTTCTTTGAATTTGAATCAGTGACTCTGATCTGTGAGGATGAAAACAGATCAGCTGGATGGACAGTGAGGAGAAACACCAGCAGAGAGACCAGAGCTGAGTGTGAGGAGTGGGGTCAACCAGTGAACTCTTCATGTTCTTTAACTGGTCTTGTCCCATTGGACACTGGTCTGTACTGGTGTGATTCTGGATCCTCCAGCAGCAGCAGCAGCAGCAGCAGCAGCTCCAGCAGCTGCAGCAGCAGCAGCAGCAGCAGCAGCAGCAGCAGCAGCAGCAGCAGCAGCAGCAGCTGCAGCAGCAGCAGCTGCAGCATCCAGCTCTCTGTCTCTGGTAAGATCAGACTGTGGAGTTAGTGTTGCTGTGTGGAAATGGATGAAATGCTGTAGTTTGTCTCTGTGTTGAAAGGATCAGTGATCCTGCAGAGTCCTGTCCTCCCTGTGATGGAGGGAGATGACGTCACTCTGAGCTGCAGAGCAAGGAATCCAACCCACAACCTCCCAGCTGCTTTCTATAAAGATGGCTCCTTCATTGGTGATGGATCAGCAGGCAGCATGACCCTCCTCCATGTTTCCAGCTCTGATGAAGGCCTCTATAAATGTAGCATCAGCGGTTCTGGAGAGTCTCCATCCAGCAGGGTCTCTGTCAAAGGTCAGAGGTCAGCAGCTTCTCTGTCTGCTTCATCAGGAGACAAGAAGTAAATGATTCTCTGGTTCATTTCAGGGAGAGTCTCCTCCGCTCGTCCTCCTCTCTCCATGGTTCTCTCTCTCTCCTCTGCTGGTTTTCTGCTTTTCTTTGTGTTGCTGGTGGTTCTGCTGACTCGGCGCCTCTGCAGGAAGCCAGCAGGTAACCCTCCCTCAGCTTCCTGAACTCCTCTGTTTATCCGTTGTGTGTCTGACTGTCGGTTTATATTATGTGGCTTTTATTTTCAGCGGCGGGGTCGGGGGGGAGCTTCAGGCCTAATCAGCAGCTTTTGGCTCAATATTGTGTTTGTGGTCAAAGTGAGAGAAGCTGTGCAGTCATTCTGCTTCCTCTCTTCGCTCCTTTTGTTTTTCACCTCAGTGACATGAACATGATTTGAGCTTCTGGTCTCAACTTTTTGGTTACAAATGTTTTTATTCAGTTTCTGATGTTTAAACTGTTTAATCAGCAGAAGAGTCAGAATCAGCTGATTTTAGATCTTCAGTGTAATGAGCTGCTCTGGATTTTCTGCAGTGGTCTAAACAAAACACATCACACCTTCAGATTGTTATTGGTGAAGAAGCTGCAACATTTTCTGCTCACCACTAGCTGCAACTTGTTGCTGTTTTCTCCTTCCTGTGATCTGCAGCCAGATGCTGCAGCTCTGTATTTATCCATGAAGAAAGCAGCAAACAGGAAGGCTTACGTCAGGATGCTAATGCTAATGTAGCGATAGCGGCTCTGAAGCAGGTTATTCCAATCAGAAATATATTTTTCTTTCACCCAGTGGTG